AGCATGTTTGAACTTTGCTGATTCGGCTTGGAGGTTACCCATCCCGACTTCAGCGGCCGCCAAGGATATTCAGAAGGCGACCGTTGAAGCGGCCGAAACATTTCGGCCTGTAGAATCACATAGAGAAAACTTTAAGGAAATTATTGTTGACCAAGTAATACAAGAGTTGGTTGCAGAATTGCCTGATAATGTGTTGTTTATGGACGAGGAGGCACTTTTCTGCATGCCGAGATTACTTGTGAATATGGCCGAAGGGCTAATGCTACCTCCACCTCAATGTATTATAGACGGATATGAAATGGAAGCTGATCATGCTGACATGTCTTTGTGGAGCTATTGATCAATTTAATTAGACAATATGTGTAGAGACTTTAATTTGAGTAGTTTAGTTCCCTATAAGTACAGTCAAATTGCAATGAAAAACAGACACAATATTGTACGCATCACTAGTAGAATCGTCAACAACCCTCAATTAATTTGTCATACTAGGAATTACATGATAATCTTTATCAATTACTTGATAAATGACAACAAATTACTTGGTTTTACTCCCATTGACAGATTCTTTTTGCATATTATTATACGTGTATGTTATTTCTATTCTTTTAGAACTTATATTCTCTCTAGTTAATCCCAATTTATGTAATATAATTTTTTTCCTTTTATTTGTTTGTGCTAAAAAGAATGATACCTTTATCTTTTTAAAAATTATTTAGTTTTAGTGTTCTCATTTTACCCTTGATGGCATATAATTTAGTCAAACCCTCACAATCACTTGTTAAAATAAAAAGACATCTGAAATTCTCACTACCACTCACTTAAAAGGACTACTTCAAGTACTTGTATGCATATATTTGACTTATGTGTCAGAAATTATCTTTAATTTCTTAAATTTCGTGTCCAATCAAATGTTGTAATATAAAACAAGACGGATGGAGTAATATTTAACATAGAAAGTTTCTCATTTTCGATATCATCCTTCTTTTGCTTATTTCTCTTTAATTTATTTTAGTTTATTTTGATAACGGATATATACATCCGCTATATCTTAAGCGCGATCACTCATATCTGGTCATAATTGAAAACCTACGTGATATTTTGTGTAGGTTTTCAAAATATAAGAAGTTTCATTATATAATTTTAAAATATCAAAATATATGTGTGACTGAATATTCATATTGCATGAAAGTTTCAGTAGATTTCCCAGATGGTCACGCAACTTATAGAGGTATCCGACCAAAGTCACCTTTGTTTCTTTTAGAACAGCAAAGTCACCAACTATTATTGTTTAACTCAAAAAATAAATACAATACATTTGACATGTTATATCATATCACAATCCTTTTTCTTAATAATAAAACTCATTTAATTGATGATACTTATACCCATGAGAGTTTGAATTAGCAGATATCGACCCTATCTCATTCTTTCTTTTCACAAATGTCGTAAATAATGCCACAATGAGCAACAAACGCGAGCTCCACAGTGGAAAGAATTGGTAAAACTTGCCATGTTTTTGTGAATGAGTCTTTTGACGTGGAAGAAGTGGTTGATTTTAGTAAAACTTAGAAAGGTTGTTACCAGAGAATTGGTATTAAAATCTCCATCTTACATTTTATGACTTTTTCTTTGTGACATGTTTTTATCTAAATTAGCGGATATCATGAGAGTTTCATAAATACTCAGAGGTTCAATTCATTGAACTAACTTATAACATATAACAATAGCAATACTTGATTCACAGCTTATGGCCTGCATTGAAGATGGGAAACGAACGTGGTCTTTAATTAATATACACATAAGTAGGACTTTTAAGAGTTCCCTCTTGCCCTAGCTACTACACAGAATGGCAGCATCCCCTTTCTTTTCTCTATCCAAGCTACATTATTCTCTTCTTGCTTAGAAGTCTTCTTCAAGAAAGGTGGACAGCAGCAGCCCTTGCACAAACTCACTTCTCCTGGCCTTCTCCTCCTGGTCTTTGTCAGATTGTGGAGGTGGATGAACATTTCTGTTCAACAAGAACAACAAAATCAATAATAAGAAACTCAATGCCATGTATCTTGATGATGAGCAGCTTTTACAGCCCACAATCCACCCCTAAGCCTCTGATAACGTGTCATTTCTTTTAATATGTTAGCTCTTCGTATCGAGATCCATGAAAGATGAACGATGTGCTCATCATCGGGCCTGATAAAGCGACACACCCCGGACTCAGGGCGAGTTCTAAGACCTCGGAAAATACGGTAAACGGTTACACACGACGGATAGAGGGCCGTGATATTCGTACCCAACCGGATATCCATTGCAGATCTCGTTCGATGTCGATTACAGATTAATAATTAACGAGAAGGGAAGATTTTTACCTTTTTTAGACTTATACTAAGGATGAAACTCTTCTACTATATTAAGGGGAAGTTTTTCTTTTGTAACACACATTGTAACACGCGAATCAAAGCACTACATATTTATTTTCTGCTTCTTAGCTACTGTTAAAGTTCTTGTTCACTTAACATGTTCTTCATTCACGACTGAGCTTGAATCGAGGACCCGATCGAGGACGAGGTCATTGTTTGATCTAAGTTCAGGCTTGGCTACAACGTCACAATTGGTTTGATTGTTTAATTCGTCTTTAATTCATTTATCTAATATACTTAATTATTTGTGTTGAATCAAACCACATATCCTTAAAATTGTGTATAAATTTAATTGTTATCCAATTTAAGGGTTAACAGTTTGGCGCCCACCGTGGGGCTAAGGATAATAGTGGTGATTTGATACGAATCTCCATAATACACCATATTTTAGGATTGTTATTTAAAGTCTTAATTTCAGGTCAACCCGAAAATATCGAACTCTTAGTCTGCCTACTTGAACATTGACGCCGAGTCTAGCCATCATGGCGAAAATAATAATTTGGTACCTAGCAATGAGGTGCCTCATGCTGATCCCAATGGTGTCCCAGTTTCCTATCCGGTCGATGCTAACTCATATGTGACTATCGATGTCAATTTGCCAACTGATCCCGAAAACTGTGTTCGCGGGGGACCCTGACCAACAGTCCCTGAAGGAGAAGGTGATGGGGTAAGCCTATGGCTAGTCTTTGAAATGTTGCAGGCTCAACAGGTGGCAATAGCGTAGCTACAGAATTAAAGCCACACCCCAACAAGGTCGATCTCGAACAATCCGGGGAAAGCACCCGAAGAAACGAACAAATCACCGAGAGACCGGGTGAAGCCGAGCCCGTGGTCAATCCCGAGATAATGAAAATACTTGAAGCATTAACGAAGCGGGTGAAGTTAGGTGAGAAGAAAATTGAGGCTAATGACAAGAAGGTGAAAACATACAATTCCATGGTCTATCAAATCCTGGAAGCACCCCCGATATTGAAGGGGCCATATTCTAAGATATTTATCAGAAGCCTTTTCCTCTGAGCGCAACACCGAAGCCGATCCCATAGAGGTTTCGTATGCCTGATATCCCCAAATATAACAGAACCACAGATCCGAATGAGCATGTGACCTCCTATACGTGCACAATCAACGGGAATGACTTGGAAGACAATGAAATCGAGTCGGTGTTATCAAAGAAGTTTGGGGAGACTTTGTCCAAATGAGCAATGATATGGTACCACAACTTACCCCCTAAATTCCATTGACTTATTTTCTATGCTTGCAGATGCTTTCGTAAAAGCCCATGCCGGGCCCATCAAGGTCGAGACCAAGAAGTCAGACCTTTTCAAGGTTAAACAAAGAGACAACGAGATGCTCATGGAGTTCGTGTCAAGGTTCCAGATGGAACGGATGGACCTGCCTCCGGTTGCAAAAGATTGGGCCGTTCAAGCATTCACTCAGGGTCTTAACGCCCGAAGTTCCTTGGCCTCTCAACAGCTAAAACAAAATTTGGAAGAGTACCTGACGGTGGTCTGGGCCGACATCCACAACAGGTACCAGTCGAAGGTCAGGGTCGAGGACGCCAACTCAGAGCTTCTTCTGGGTCTGTTTACCCCATCAGGGCCGATGATAGGTCTAAGAGAGTCATTGATCATGAGCCAAGACCGGTTCGGGATCGATACCAACCATACAGCGCAGACCGAAGGGGAAATGGATCCGGGCGTCATCCCATACAGAACGATAAGAGAGGCGATCGAGTGCCCAACATCTGAGGTCTGATGAGCAAAAATGGTTTTGACAGGCCGCTCAGGGGTAGGGAAGCACTGAGATTATTAGAGTATAACTTCAACGTTGATTCTGCCAGCATCGTATAGTCCATCGGGCACATCAAAAAGACCAAGTGGCCCTGACCATTGCAGTCTGACCCTACCCAAAGAGATCCTAACTTGATATGTAAGTATCATGGCACTCATGGTCACAGGACAGAGGATTGCCGACAGTTGAGAGTATAAGTTGCCCGGTTATTCAACAACGGGCACCTTCAAGAATTTCTGAGTGGAGCCAAAAATCACTTTAGGAATATGGACTCCAACAAACAGGTCAAACAAGAGGAGAATCATCACTTCATCAACATGATCATCGGAGGAGTCGATGTCCCCCAAGGACCAATAATAAAGCACACTAAATTATCTATCAATTTCGTTCAGCGCTGAGGATGCCGACGGCATCGTGCAACCTCACAATGATGTGCTGGTAATATCCGTACTTATCAATAAATCTCGAGTTAAACGTGTGTTTATTGATTCAGGTAGCTCAGCCAACATCATCAGATCAAGGTTCGAAGAGCAATTGGGGTTACAGGACCAAATTGTGCCAGCAGTCCGAGTGTTGAACGAAATTAACTTGGCCTGCAAAACTACTAAAGGGGAGATAACCATGCCACTAAACACCACCGGGATGATCCAAAAGACAAAGTTCTACATAATCGAAGGGGACATGAGGTATACTGCTCTATTCGGAAGGCCGTGGGTTCACAACATGAGGGCAGTACCCTCAACCTTGCACCGGGTGTTGAAATTCCCTAAAGCGGGAGGAGTCAAGACAGTCTACGGAGAGCAGTCGACCGCAAAAGAGGTATTCATTGTCGACAAGGTAATACCGGTACCTGTGGTTTCGATATCAAGGAAAGTGAAGCCGACCAGAAAAGGAAGAAATTGAATAGCAATCACTGATGCCGGCCTTGGCCGAACTGGAGGAACGAGAAGTAGACGAGGATGATGATTACTGTGTCCCAAGATCATTCTTGGTTCCTGATGACACTGACACCACCAAATCGATGGTCGAAGAATTGGAGTAGGTCATATTAATCTAACACCTACCGGATCGAAAGGTATACCTAAGCACGAGGTTAACCCCCGAGCTCAGAAAAAAACTTATTGATTTTCTTCAAGCTAAGATAGATTGTTTTGCTTGGTCCCATCTTGACATGACAGAGATCTCACTGGAGGTAGCCACTCATAAGCTTAGTTTGGACTAGAAGTTCCATCCGGTTAAGCAGAAGAGGAGGCCACAGTCCGAGATCAAGCATGCATTCATCAAGGAAGATGTATCGAAACTTCTTAAAATAGGATCTATTCGGGAAGTTAAATACCCAGAAT